TGTTAATGAAACAAGTGAAAACAATATAAAAAATAAAAACCAGAAATTAAAATGAAAAAAAAAGGAAAGATGACAGAGCATGAGTGAAGGACCGGGAAGCTGGCCAGTGTGCAAGTGCAGGGGGAGGAGGTGACCCCTGCTTGGAGGCCAAAGGAGGCTGCCTGGAGTGGGGGTCCGGGCCAGGTCTGTGCCTTGTAGAGCCCGCACTGCCCACTAGGGGGCAGAAAGTGCCCGCCTGCAGGACACCAGGAAGCCAAGGGCCCAGGGGGTGGCTGGAAGGGTGTGTGGACACAGGACTTACCTGCCTGAACAGGGCTGGTGCAAGGCAGCTCCAGGGTGGCAGGGCATACTTTGGGAGGGCTACTTAGCTGCTCTGTAAATGGGCACAGTAACGCCCCTCCTGAGGACGACGGAAGAGTCCCTCTCAAGCCTCCCAGACGCCACCTGGGAAACGGGGAGGGAAGGGAAGTGTCAGGCGCCACATAGGACCTGGTCTCTGCCTTACAGAGGTTGCACACGGGGCTTGGATGGGACGCAAATGCAGGAAGACTGACCTTTGCTGTGTGCAAAGTAGGTGGCCATATGCAAGGTGGGTGGCTGTGTGCAAGGTAGGTGGCCATGTGTAAGGTGAGTGGCCGTGTGCAAAGTAAGTGACCATGTGCAAGGTGGGTGGTCGTGTGCAAGGTGAGTAGCTGTGTGCAAGGTGGGTGGCCATGTACAAGGTGGGTGGCTATGTGCAAGGTGGGTGTCCGCGTGCAAGGCGAGTGGCCGTGTGCCTAGCAGGGCCATGCGGGTGTGCAGGAGGCAGAAGGGAATTCCTTTCACAGGAGTGCTGAGCCGAGGAGCCCAGCTGGAGCTGATCTTTGGAACAGGAAGGGGCTCACCAGTTGGGTACTGGGGCTTCTCAGTGGGAGGGGCCCAGAGACACGAGGCCACAGCACCGGGGTCTAGACAAGGCTGAGGGGGGGTGGGAGAAGCAGTGGAAGGGCTTAGGTACTGACCTGAGCCGTAACGGGGACGTGCCTGTCTGGAGTGGGTCCTTGGCGTGCAGTGGGGTGTTCACTACTCCTCGAATGGGTCGCCTGTTTATACTGCATCGATTGGATTTCTTTTAAAAAGTAAACTCAGGTTATGGCTTGTCAGGAACGGGTGTCTGTTCTCCCATCTTTCTCTGCGGAGGCTGGAACCAGGAACCAAGTGTCCATGGCCAGGAACCAAGAGGGGGAAGCAGAGCAGGGCAGGCTGGCAGGGCAGCTGCACCTGGTGCCCAGGCCTCGCCCCCAGCACGGTGGGGCCTGACGCCGCTTCCTTGTCCATCCTGGCACTGCCCTCAAACTGCAGCCTTGAGCACCGGCGTGAGGACTGGCTTGACTCTGGCTTTTGTGCTCCTGTGGGTACCAAGATGATGTTCCATGTGTGTGACAGTGGAGGAGGAGTGACTCTTTTCACCAAACTTTTGAGGCTCATTGGCTGACTTTCTGTGAAAACTTTCGGTCTTATTTTGATTACGCCCACCTGGGATTTTGGTGGTTGTTTTGGGGGGTGTTGGTTGGGCCAAACCTGATGGTGCTCAGGGGCTGTTCCCAGCACGCTTGGGGGCCATGTGGTTCTGAGGCAACCTCTGCTATAGCAGGCTGGCGCCATAGCCTCGCTCTGTTTCTCTGGCCTGATTCACCTGGGCAGTGAAGAGCAGCGGGGCTGGAGAGTCCAATGGGCTGAGCATGAGCTCTGCACGTGGGAGCCAGGTTTCATCCCAGCACTGTGTGGTCCCCTGAGCACAGAGCTGGGAGCATCCCATGAGCACTGTCAGCTCCAAGGCACCCACACACAAACACAACGCATACATGTGCACACACATATGCACACATGCACACACGTGCAGGTGCATACAAAGACCATTCGATTTTTTTTGTTTGTTTGTTTGCTGGTATTGGCTTGGGGACCACACTCAGAGGTGACTTCCTCTGGCTCTGTGCTTAGGGATCACTCCTGGTGGGGCTTGGAGGGAACATAAAGGGTCCCGGGGATTGAACCTGGGTTGGCTGCATGTAAGACAAGTGTGATATCTCTCTGACCATTGCTATAAAGTCATGAAAATGCTTGTCAACAGGAGCCTGCTTCCAGATGCGACCCTTGAATGTGGCGACATTCTGCAGTGGAATTCTGGGACACGCAAGGCGAGAGGTGGTGGCCAAGGTGAAATCAGACTACGGCTCAGCCCTCAGGTCCCACCGCCCGGTCTAGGACCCCCTGCCCCGGGCCTCCTGTCTGCTGAGTCCTCAGACACCCTCTGATTAGCCAAATAGCATAGTGGTAGGGATTGTGAAAGAAGCTCTTCTGAGGGCAAGTTCAGGCTCAGTCAGAGAAACGATAACAGGGATGGGCCCAGCAGCAGCGCCAGGAGCAAAGCCAGAGAGCCTTGAGGGCAGCAGGGAAACCCCACTTTCCTTTCTCTTCTCACCTCAGCAGGAGCTGGTCACTATGGCTTTGGGGAGAGGGCAGTTACCAGGTGACAAATAGAGTTGGGCTGGAGAGATGGGACAGCGGGAAGGGTACCTGCCTGGCACACGCCAGCCAGGTTCAACCCCTGGCAACACATTCGGTTCCCGGGTCCTGCCAGAGATTCCTGAGCGCAGAGCCAGGAGAAAGCCCAGAGCACCCTGGGTGTGACTCAAACAGCTCCCAGACAGACAGAGCAGGAGAGGCCGAGGGCAGGAAAGGTTCTGCGGGGGAATCAGAGTTAACAGCCATTGTTCCCACCCTTTCCCCCTTTCAATAACTGGCTTTGTCCAAATCCAACTTTTTTTTTGTATGTTTTATTTTTGTATCACACCAGAACTCCTGACTCCGCGCTCAGGGATCACTCTGGGTGGGACTTGGGGACCATATGGAATGCCAGGGATTGAACCCATGTTGGCCAGATGCAAGGCAAGTGCCCAACCCACTGTCTTGTCACTCCGGCCCCCAAATCCAACTTTCATAAATAGCTACTTTCTCTTCGGAGGGAATTGGGAAACTTTGATTCCTGAAGATCTGGAACTATCCTTAAAAGTGAGGGTGGTGCCAGCCGAAGTTCGGGGATGGAATGTTTCCACCTCTGCCGGGGTGAGCTCCATTCGCTCACATCCCTGTTTCCATTGGAACACAACTGAAAATTAAGTTCCTCTGGCCTACTTCATCGCTCCTCATTATATTATATTATATTACCTCATTATATTACCGCATCAGCGGTATCATTATCCACGGTCCTGGGACCGCTGCTTGTCCTGATGTTTCAGCTAACAGTGGCAGGCTATGGGCTCAGTAACTCTAATAACGATGATGATGCTCCTTTGATTGATTGCCCAGTGGCGGGATGTCTGTTATCTGGGTGTCTTTGCCTTCCCTAATATTTTCTTGAACAAATAGCATTGCAACCACAGTATATAAAACATTTTAAAGAGTGTCACAATTGCATACTTTTAACTCATTTAACTCATAATAACTAATTATTTTGTTCCTCCCTATATTTACTTTTTATATCATCACAAAGATTTTTTTCTACGTTCAAATAATCTGGGTTTTCTTTTCAATTACACAATAAACATCTTCCATGTCCCTGAAGATGATTCTGGCTGTATAATATTCCACAGGAGAATGTGGGGCGGTTTGTGGAAATGCCCACCATGGTCCAGTTCTCAGGTGCCGCCAACCTCTCACTGTTAAAATTCATCTCATCTATTGGAGTGCAGCTGTTAGTAAGACATAAGATTTGCCTTTGGGGTGTTCATCTTTGGGAAGATGAAGTAAACAAGCGACCAGATGAAAAGATGGCGTTCTGCTGACACTGGAGTGTGGGTGGGGGGTGGATGCATTTCTCCTTCCCGCAGGTTGGCACTGTCACCAACAGGCTGTCACTTAGATGTGCAGAGACACTCACCCAGTGGCTACCCACCAAGCAATTAGACACTTCTCCCTGTGACAATTGCATCCTCCTCTTTTCTGGTCTCCTGGCACAAGAACCTGGGGTGTCCTCAAGGAAGCAAGCTGTGCCCTGCAGGAGGGGGCTGCAGGTGTGTGGGGGGGTGAAAAAAGAAGAGAAGGAGTCTGGTCTAGTGCCCGGGGCTCAGCCCTCTCTCCAGCTGGTTGGAAGGGCAGCTGGAGGGGGCCAACAGGGTAAAGTCTGCTGGAGCCTCTTGGGGTGGGAGACTAGGAGGGTCCCTGGGATGAGCTGAGCAAGCTGGGGACTGGGCGAGCTGGGGTGACCAGCAGACTTGAGGGGGGACAGGTAGGTCCTGAGGGGTGTCACCGACCAGGTGGCCAGTCTGAGGTTCTGCGGGGGGGGGGGGGGGGGGGGAAGCGCGGAATCTGGGAGGAGGGTGGGTGCAGGGAGAAGGGGTGAGTGAGCAGGCCTCAGACTTGGTGGAAGGAAGGGGGCCAGAGAGGTGGGCCTGGCTCTGGGGGAGGAGGAGGGAGGCGGGGCTTGTGCTGAGGGCGCGGTGGGGCTGGAGCGGGAGCCCTGAGGGCTCGAGAAGGCGGGGTTTGGTTTCTAGGGGCGTGGCTATTTTGGGGCGTGGCTGGGTCTAGGGGCGTGGCTAGTTCAGGGTGAGACCGGGGCGTGGCCGGGGCGGAGCTTGGGGCGGCACAGCTTGGTCTGGGCTAGGGCCAGTGGGAGAGGGCGTGGCAGGGGCGATTCCAGGGCGGAGTTTGGGGCGGTGGCGCTTGGCCCAGGACAGGGAGGGAAGGGCGTGGCTGGAGGTGTGGCCGGGGCGGAGCTGGGACGGCGGAGCTTGGTCGGGACTGGGGCTGGGGGTGTGTGGCCGGGGCGTGGCCGAGGCGGAGGTCGGGGAGGCTGAACTTGGTCCGGGCCGGGGTCGGGGCGGGAGGGCGTGGCCGGGGCGTGGCCGGGGCGGCGGACCGTGCGTGCAGCAGGCAGCGGAGCTGCTGGCGCGGTGAGCAGCCCGTAGTGCTGTGGCCGTGAGCGTGTCCGCCGGTGCCCAGCGCCCCTTGCTCGTCTCGCCATGCTGTTGCTGCTCGCGCTGTGTTTGGCGCTACCGCTCGGCGCGGGGTCGCTGGAAGAGGCGCGGAACTGGGGCGGCGCTGAGGAGCAAGTGAGTGGGCTGCGGGGCCGCGGGGCTGCAGGGCAGCGGCGGGCTCGGGTCCGGCTGGGGCCCGGGTGGGGACACCCGCTCCGGCGAGTCCCAGGCGCTCCCGCGACGGCTCCTCTCCGCGCCCCCCGTTGCACGCGGGCCGTCGAGTCCCGGGAAAGTGCCCGGATCCCCTGAAGAGGGCCTCGCGGGTCGGGGGGTCCATCCCTGCGGGGACGCTGCACGGGGTTCGGGACAGCCGCGGACACCTGCAGAGCTGCTGACAGTCACACTGTCCACTGTTCCCAGGCCGCGCGCGGCCGCCCTGCACCTGGGAGAAAAGCACTTTTTGGAGGGGGTTGAGGGGTTCCCAGGAGGCACCAGTTTGAAGGAAAACAAAAGGGGGTGGTGATTGGAGGGGGGGCCCTTAGGGTCCAGGAAGGTGGCCTCTCCGGGCCTCGCCTACTGTTGTGTCCCGCACTCCGTCTGCACCTCCCACTCCCATAGCCCCTGCTGGAGAAACCCTTACTTTTGGTACTTGTTTTGTTTGGGGGCCACACCCAGGGGTGTCCAGACTACTCCTGGCTCTGTGCTCAGGTGCTGCCCGCGGGTACGTCCTGCCAGCTCCTGCTGGGTTGGGCCAGCGCAAGTGCCAAGGGAAGGAATGTGGGGCAGAGTGCTGAGGCTGGCCGGGTGCAGGGCAGGGGGTGTGGGAAGAAGAGAACAAAGGTTCTGATTGTGCGGGGTGGGGGTGCAGTTCTAGGGGGTGGCATGGAACTCCGCAGGGTCCTGCTGGGAGCAACCACTCGGACCCTTGACTTCACCCAGAGCTCGGTGCCGCCCCTGAGGTGACAGAACCCAGAGCAGCACCAACGTGCCCATGTCCACAACGGGCAGCTTCACATCTGCTCCGGCTATCTGAGAGTGTGTGAGAGTGTGGGCGTGTATGTGAGTGTCTGAATGTGTGTGTGTGTGAGAGTGTCTGTGTGCGTGTGGTGAGTGTGTGAGAGTGTGGACATGTATGTGAGTGTCTGAATGTATGCGTGTGTGAGTGTGCGCGTATGTGAGAGTGTCTGAATGTGTGCTTGTGTTTGAGAGTGTCTGAATGTGTGTGTGAGAGTGTGGGCGTATGTGAGTGTCTGAATGTGTGTGTGTGCGAGTGTATATGTGTGAGTGTGTGAGTGTGTGAGAGAGCATATATGAGTATGAGTTTATGCGTGTGAATGTGTGTGTGAGTGAGAGCATATGTGTGTATGAGAGAGCATATGTGAGGAATGGGTATGTGCCAGTGTATGTGAGTGTATCTGTAATGGTGATTGTGTTTGAATATGTGTGAGTGTAAGTGTATGTGTGAATGTAAGTGTAATAGTGTATGTGTCTGAGTGTATGTGAGTGTGTGAGTGCATATGAGTATATTGTATGGGTATAGGTGAGTGTAAGTGTATATGTAAGTGTGTGTGTGAGTGTATGGATTATGTATGAGGGTGTATGTGTGGGGATGAGTGACTGTGTATGGTGAGAGTGTGTGTGTACAATGTGTGTGGGTGTGTATGTGTGAGTGTGTGCCATTGGATTAACAGCGCAGACTCTGAGACGCCCCAAGCCCTCATCTCTCCCACTGATGAGCCCCCACAACTCTGAGCCCGTTTGGGGACCTCTGCCCTGGGCACAGGATCTGTTGTCGGTGCACTGTGGGTCAGACCACCCTCTTGGAAAGCCTGAGTAGCCGCGCGCATAGCTGGTGCCAGCGTGAGCCCAGTCACGGCTTAGAGGCCATGTCCTCCTCCGTGGAAATGCCAGATTCCTCTGACCATCAGCTCATCCCGCGATTCCCACTCGCCCTTCCCCGGAACTCTGCCAGTGACCCCTCCAACCCAGCCTCCTGTAGTGACCGGTGACTTTCCATCGCCCACTGCACAACACGCTTGGAAGCTTGTTAACCCCTTGGGTTCCAGGGCCTGGTCTGAGCGGGCCGTGGTGGGTCACCGCCGTCCATGGTGCACGCGGCTTCACAAGAGTCCCGGGAAGGGCAGGGCCCACACAAACTCTACAGGTCTCTGCTCTAGGACCTTCCAGGGGCACCGTTTCCCCGACTGGAGACAAGTGGGTGCGCGCTGGAGCCAGAGCACAGCGGGCAGGGCGCCTGCCTTGTACATGACCGAACCGGGTTCAAGTCCCTGGGACCCCATAGGGTCCCCTGAGCACTGCCCATCCCCTGAAAAGACAAGGTGGTATTTCGGTTATTAACTCGTGCAACTCTGAGTGAGCGGAACCCCAAGAACCATCACTGAGTCCCAGGAGGCTGCAGGGAGTAGGAATCAGGGGCACCCTGGTGGGGAGCCCGAAGGAGCCCTCCCAGCCTGCCCTTCCTCCCCACGTAGAAAGCTTCTCGGCCCCCCCGCCCTCGAGTGCCAGGGTGGGTTAGGAGCCCTTAAAAAAAGAACGTCTCGCATCTTGGTGAGGCAGAGTGCTGAAGGGAGCCACAGACAAGTCGGAACTGATGAACGCCTGGTGGCAGGTGCACAGACACCGTTGGTGGGCCAGCCCTGGCCAGGTGACACATCACCAACTGCCCGGCTTGCCCTCTTTGTTCCCCGGCCGTGTAGAGGACCAGCGCGGCGGGTTCGGGCAAGGGCGCAAGAGTGCTCCCCTCGTTCCTGCCTTGGGAAAGTCTCCAGCTGCTGCCGACTTTACAAGGGGCTGAGAGGTGCCAGGGAGGGGCCGTGCCCTCTGGGCATGCCTGGGCTCCACCCAGAGCCATGATGCCAGCGCCCGGCTGTTTACTGACTTGGATTAGGAGCCTCTGGCACAAAATTAGGAGCTGAGAAATAGCCCCAAGTGCCCTAAATCCAGAGCTGTGGGGCTCCGAAATCACTGGGGGAATGCAGTCGTCTGTCTGTCTGTCTGTCTGTCTGTCTCTTTGACTCTTCCTTTCTCCTCTCTCTCCTTTCTCCTCTCTTTCTCCTCTCTCTCCCCCTCTCTCCTTTCTGCTCTCCTCTCTCTCCCTCTCTCTTCTCTCTCTCTTCTCTCCCTTTCCTTTCTCTCTTCTCTCTCCTCTCCTCTCTCTCTCCCCCTTCTCTCCTTCTCTCTCCCTCTCTTCTCTCTCTCCCCCTCTCTCTTCTCTCCTCTCTCCTCTCACTCCTTCTCTCTCTCCTTCTTTCTCTCCTGTCTCCTCTCCCCCCTCCCCACTCTCCTCTGTCTCTCCTCTGTCCTCTTTCCTCTTTCTCCCTCTTTCTTCTCTCCTTTCTCCTCTCTCTCCTTGCTTTCTCTCTCCTCCCTCCCTCTCTTCTTTCTCCCCCTCCCTCCCTCCCTCTCTCCTGTCTCCTCTTCCCTCTCTCTCTCTCCCCCTCTCCCTGTCTCTCCTCTCTCCTCTCTTTCCTTTCTCTCCCTCGCTCTCCCCTCACTCCTCTCTCTCCCTCTCTCTCTCCCTCTCCTCTCTCTCCCTCTCCCTCCCTCTCTCTCTCCCTGTCTCTCTCCCTCTCTCTCCCTCTCCCTCCCTCTCTCTCTCCTGTCTCCTCTCCCCTCTCTCCTCTGTCTCTCCTCTCTATTCTCTTTCCTCTCTCTCCCTCTCTCCTCTCTCCCTCTCTCCCTCTCCCTCCCTCTCTCTCCCTCTCTTCTCCCTCCCTATCTCTTCTCACCCTCCCTCTCTCCTCTATCTCCCTCTCTCTCCCTCTTTCTCCCCCCTTCTCTCTCCCTCTCTCTCTCCTCTCTCTCCTTTCTCTCTCTCCCTCTCTCTCCCCTCCCCCACTTTCTCCTCTCTCCCTCTCTTCCTCTGTCTCTTCCCAGGCAGCAATGTCTCTGGACTGCTCATAGCTCCATCCACCCACCCGGGCGCTTGGGTGTGACCCCCTTTCCCTGCATGGGAGGAGGGACCGCAGCCCCTCGGGGTTACTCCTAACCAGTGGGAGGGGGGAAGGGCGGGGGTCCTGGGCTGGCGTTAGAGTTCTATGTGGCGGGGTGCCTGGACTCCAGCTGGACAGGACAGCCTGTGCAGAGGGGCGGGCCCGGCCTGTCTGTTCTGAGCCTTCGCCTGGTGCCTGTTTCCCAGCATGATAAAGGAGGGGCTTGGTCTCAGCAAGCAGGACTGCCTTTAGGGCGCCCCAGCAGGGAGGCAGTGGGAGGGGCGCCTTATGCCCCACCTGAGTCCCCCTAGTACCACCTGCGCATGGTCCAGGCACCGGGCAGACCCCCTGAGCGAGCAGTGGCTGGGAGACTCCCCCAAAACAAGCCACCTCCACAATGCTTGGAATTCGAGCCCCCAGATGTGTTTTCTTCTTCCTTTTCTAGGGGTGCACCCCTGTCTGGGTTCCAAATGCAAATATCAAGCTGGACCCCAGGGAAGAGAACTTGTGTGTGGGCTGGGGTAAGACCATCCCAACAAGCACCTTCCGAAAGCTGCCCCCCGCCTGGGTGGATGTGACCCCGCCAGAGACACCTCAGGGGTCTTGGGTCCTGTCTCACTTTTGGGGTCCTTTTCCCTCACCTCCCTGATCTGTGGGTCTAGGGTTCCGGCCAGCACAGAAGTTGGGGCAGCTGCTAGAACCCTAGAACCCTCTGGGTTCTGGGCCCCAGGATGAGGGGGGTGGGGTGGGGGTGAGTGAGCTTCTCTCAGCGAGGGACCCCGACAGTGGCCTGTGGGTGGATTCCCCGGGGCATTCTCACTTTCTGTCTTTTGTCTCCCTTGAGTTGTGGGGCGTTGGCACTGCCCGGAATTCTGACCCTCTGGACATTCACCTTCATGCCCCTTGTCAGGCCTGGGGACTCCAGGAGCATGCTCCTGGGCTCTGTGAGTCTCCCCTTCCCGTGAGGACCCCACCCTGACCCGAGCCTGTGGGACAAATACACAAATACAGCCCCCGCTGCTGAGGCCAGGGCCATGGGCAGCCGCTGTCACTGGCCTCCCAGGGAGGGGTGACAGAAGGGTCTCTGGGACAGAGCCTGTCTCTGCCGCCCCCAGCTCCCTGCTCCCCTACAGCCACCCCTCTGGTTTCTTTCCAACCTGGGACCCGATTCTGGGATCCTCAGGGGTAGAGCAGGGGCTTCTACACTCCAGAAACGCTGAGGCTGGACATTTGGAGCCCTGCCGGGGGCCACTCAAGTTGGTCCTGTGGATCCCGCACTGGCCCTTGACGCAGCTCGGCTCCCCCCAAGGCAACCCCCGACTGGCAGGAAAGCCGGGAACAATGGGAGCGGGAATTCCGGGGCACTCAGGACTCACTGCCTGGCCCTCTCAGGGTCACTCCGAGGGAATGCTGGACTGAAGCGTGGCCAGGGAAGCCCCCCTGGGAGGCAGATAAGCATCTGGGAACCCGGCGCCAGCGTCTCCTGGACTTTACAAAGTGGAGACTTGAGAGGGAAGTGTGACAGCGGCCCGCGCCCCCTACTGCACCCCAGATGGAGAGTCTGGGGGGTCTGACACCCTCAGAAGTCAGTGGGGATGGGGCAAAGTGCAAGGGAAGGAACAGCGCCCCTGTCCGCTGGTCCTCACGGCTGGCCAAACCCCAGAAGGTTCCTTTGCTTCCTCGGCCCGAGTGCTGGGGATTGTCCTGTCACTGGCATGTTGGTTTGGGGACTTCGGGGAAGAGGGAGGACGGTGTTCAAGAATATTTTTAAACTGTTTCCCATTAGTGGCGACTGATTATTTTGGGTTTGGGGCCGCATCCAGGGCTGTGGATCTGGGTGGGGTCTGGCCATGCCCTGTGAAGGAGACTATGTGGCCTAGGACATGCAGGAAGGCGCTTGCCTGCGTGGGCCAATGCGGGCTGGAGCCCCACAGTGCAGAGGGTCCCCTGAGCCCACCAGGACTGATCCCTGAGCACCCCCGGGCATGGCTCAAAACCCCCAAATAGCTTGTGTTTGTAAATTATGCCTCATAGAGATATTGAAAAAGTTTTGCATGAAGTCTAGCAGTGATGTGCAAGGGCTTCCTTCCTCCCTCCCTCCCTCCCTTCCTTCCTTCTTTCCTTCCTTCCTTCCTTCCTTTCTTTCTTTTTCTTTCTTCCTTTCTCTCTTTCTTTTTTGGTGTAGTTGGGGGTTGGGTTGCATCTGGCAGTGCTCAGGGCTCACTCCCAACTCTGTGCTCAGGGCTCACTCCTGGGTCTGTGCTCAGGGCTCACTCCTGGCTCTGTGCTCACTCCTGGCTCTATGCTCAGGGCTGACTCCTGGCTCTGTGCTCAGGGCTCACTCCAGGTGGGCTCAGGGTGGGGACCATGTGTGATGCCGCATTATCAGATTCAGATTTGCCATGTGCAAGGGCCTTACCGGGCATGCTATCTCTTAAGTTTTTTAACTGCTTTGTCAAATTAAGCTCAAGAGAAAATTAGTTGCTAGTAATTAACACCCTTTCCTGTAAACAACAGTTTGCCCTGGGTCAAATTCAACAACTGGCCAGGACTTTTTCATGAGTCAAGAGGATATGCTTGGTTATTAATATGCCCTTTTTTGAAGACGGCATCTCACCTGCCAGCCCCACAGTCAGGAGGGACAGCCAGGGTCCAGGATACACACGTGGGCCAGAAGGAAGCTCAGGCTAAGTTCTCCTTTGCATCCCAGAGTTCCTGGAGTTTCCAGATGAGTCAATAGGCCCCACTGGGGAGAGGTCACGCACTGCAAGGACATGAGCACAGAGTTTGATTTGAAGGCAAGAAGAAAATGCAGCGGCCGCAGGTTCTGCTCGGGCTCTGCTCCCGTCAGTTGCCCAAGCTCCCAGAGTGCATGGAGGGACACACGTGAGGCTCCAGGGACACAAGGGAGGGCCAGGCCTGAGCGTAGGCTTTGCACATAGGAGGCCCACGGTCCCATGCTTCCTGGTCCCATGCATTCTGCTGGGAGCCCCCCAAGCACTGTGCTGGGTGTAGCCCCTAAGCATTGTCAGGTGAGAGTCTACACACCCCAGCATGCACAGAGGAGAGCAAGCAGGAAAGCAGATGAGCAGGAGCCTGATCTCCAGAGCTCAGCTGTCAGCTGAATCTCCCAGTGAATTCTCGAATTCTCCTTTGAGCGAGGAAGCAACCAGATGGAAATGCTCCCCGATGAAAGTGCTCCCCAATAGATGTGCTCCCTGATGGAAGTGCTCCTTGGTGGAAGTGCTCTTTGATAGATGTGCTCCCCAATAGATGTGCTCCCAGATAGACGTGCTCCCCGATGGGTGTGCTCCCCGATGAAAGGCCAGAACTGCCCTTTACTTCTTTTTTCAGCTTCCCCCCCCCCGTGGATCTGAATTGATTTAATGACCCACTGCTCTGCCCAACAACAGGTTTGAGGATGATTTCCCCATTGTAATTTCTTTATTCTGCTCTTCTTACAGGCTGGACTCAGGGTCCCGCGGCAAGCCCGGCTGCTGCAGAGACTGGTACGTACAACCCAGGCATCTCTGTGCATCAGGTCCTCCTGTGTCTGGGGCTGTGTCTCCTCCATGAGCCGAATTGTGGACTGAAGGAATCCAGCATGAAACAAGCCCAATTCTAGAAGGACTGAACCCAGGCTTGCTTAAATAAGAAAAGCCCCTTTATTTTGTGTGATGTTCTCATCCCAGACCTGCAGGCTTTGTTGTGACGTTTGGTGATAAAGTCACCAAAATCCACTGGGGCTGATCAGAGCAAGAATGATCACTGCTGGACTGTGTTCCGGATGGGAACTTGAGTATTCAGGGACCCGAGGGCTCTCCGCATGCCCTAGGCCATGTGTTGGGATATATCTGTGTGGGGCCCAGGCTTCTGGCTCCTGTCCCCGGGGGGGGGGGGGGGGGGGAAGCAGTTGTCTGAGGACCGTGTTTGTGTCAGTTCTAGATTTCTTCTCACTTGTCATCACACTTACTACCTTTATTGTCCTTCCACTCGGTACTTTTGTCTTGCCTCTTTCTCCCTTGATCCTTTTAAGCTTCCCACACCCCACATCCTTGGAGAGATCCTGCCTCACACAGAGCTGGTGCCTTTGCTAAAAAGTGTGCAGGAATAGCAGGAACTCACAGGGCAGTCTCAAGCCAGATATGCACACATACCTGTCCACCCACTATCCAGCCTTCATCCACCCATCATTCATCCATCATCCATCCCTCTTCCCATCCATCCTACTATCCATCCATCATCTATCCATTCCTCTCTCCATCATCCACCATCTATCCATCCAAGCATTCATCTCTCCCTCTCTCCATCCACCAACCGACCCACCATTCATCCATCCATTCCATTCTCCCATCCACCCACCCAATCTATCAGTCCATTCATCTTACATTTAAGTATAATTATCTACTCATCCACTTATCATCTATCCATCCACCCCTCAATCCACTTACTCATCCACCCTCCCATCTACTCATCTATCCACCCACCCATTATCCACCCATCCATCCATTAGCCGTTCATCTGTTCTCCATCCATCCACTCATCCATCATCTCTCTACCCACCCATCCATCCATCCATCCATCCATCCATCCATCATCTCTCCATCTCTCCATCCATTGATCATCTCTCCATCCATCCATCCATTCATCATCTCTCCATTTACCCATTCATTCATCATCTCTCCATCCATACATTCATCCATCATCTCTCCATCTATCCATTCATTTGCCTAGCACTGCTTGGGCATTTAGAGTACAAACCCTGAAACAGACAAGAGATGGTATCTTTCTCAGAGTCTGAGCTCTTGGCATGCTGTGATCGGAAACACAACCCAAGGGTTTTGGTGATATCAAAGAGGCTGACATGTACCACTGGGAGGAGTAACAGGGCAGAGGAAGCAGAGTCACAGTGCACACACTTGATGTGTGTTCTGGTCAGTGTTCTCAGACTAGGAGATGGTCTCTTGATTCCTGAGATTCGCTGAGTACTTACTAGATGCCAGGCATTGTTCTAAGTGTTTCTCCTCTAACTCAGTAGCCCCGGGCAACGTGCCCTGGAGGCATTTTCCTGCTGGGAAGTGGAAGTTGGGCGGGATGGGGTGCTTGCCCCCGACCTCCACTGGCTGGAAGGTGAAGGAGGTCAGAATCCCTCTGTGGCCTTCCTCTAACTGATCAGCTGCCTTCTCCATCCTGCGTCTCTTCCTGCGTCTGATTTGCATTTAATAACACCTCACCCAACCTGGCTTTATCCGTCCCTCTCTAGCTTTATCCATTCCTCTGGGGCAGACATGAGAAATGTCCAGCTGTGGCCATGGAGTGCCTGTGAAACCCTGTGACACGGCCCTCATGCATAGTGGGAGACTCCTGCGTGGCCCCTTCTAAGTGCCCAAATGGGCCTTGGCAGAAAAGGGTTTTCCACACCTGTTCTAGCAGTGAAAGCGTCTTCTTTGGGGGTGACAAGTAGTGCCCAGGCTGGGGACCACTCTCAGGGTTACTCACTCTGTGTTTAGGGTGGGCAGATTCCCCAAATGCGCATCATGCCCCCCCACACCCAACCCCTCACAGTAGCTCTCCCATCTGGACGATAATTGCATTTGTCCAGACGTGTTTGTTTCTCCCACTAGAATCAGAACTGCAAAGAACTTTCCATTCATTCTATCATCTGAGTGCTTTTAATTCCATGACCTAGATTTTCTTTTTTTGTTTGTTTCCTTTGGACCACACCCGGTGATGCTCGGGGCTTATTCCTGGTTCTGCTCCCAGGGATCACTCCTGGCAGGACTCAGGGGACCATATGGGGCACCAGGGATCAAATTTGGGTCAGTCTGGCCTACATTTTCAGCAGGAAGATTTCCAGACCCAAGTATGCATGCATTCTTCATGTTTACAAGTATTCTATGATGATTATGTCTGATTCCTCTTTTGGATCATAGCCCCCTGTGCTCAGGGCTTACTCCTGGCTCTGTGCTCAGAGGTCATTCCTAGTGGTGCTCAGAGACCATATGCAGTACTAGGGATTGGAGCGGGTTGCCCACACAAGGCAGATCCCTTCCCTGTACTGCCTCTCTGCCCCCACGATTCCTTCTAGCACTTCTGTGTGAATTCCTTTCCCACTAGCCATGGGCATCGTCATTGGTGTCAGTCTAGCTGGATGTGTTGTTGTTGCTGAGTCTGGCCTCTTCTCTGCAGCCTTGGACCTGGGGGTGTTGCTTTCGGGCCTGGGGGTGTTGCTTCCGCAGCCTCCATTGTTCTGTGTTCCATCCACTGCTCCTAGGGATCAGAGTGCCCTGCACCCCATCCCGTGGGGGCCCCAGCTCCTTGAGGGCCCTCCCCATCTCCATCAACACCTACTCAGGAGCTTTGCAGCTCCTGAAAGAAAAGCGAAAGTGTCTGGGTGATGACTCAACTTACCTTTCTTTTTCACCCCTGAGTTTTCATCCGCAGTCAAAAGACTTTTCTTGATGTCTTGTTGTGGGCCGTTTCTGTCTTCTGTCATTTCTCAGATCGCAATAGGAATCGCTACTCATTTCTGTGTCCGACTTTCAGGTTTGTTTGTTACTCATTTCTTGGGCTGAGCTTTATTTACGCAGCTGGTGCCTGGATGAGCATGGTAGGACACTCGTGCATGTATTTGTGATAACCCCCCCACATACTGTGAGATAAACTGCCAGGGCAGGGGGGGGGGGCGGCGACGGAGTGATGGTACAGTAGGTAGGGCACATGCCTGGCACACAGCTAACCTGGGCATGATCCCTGACACCCCCTTATCGCCCCCTGAGAACAGAGTGAGGAGTTAGTCTGTACTGTCAGAGTGACCCGCAAAGAACATGGGAGAGTCTCAAAGGCTTCATCCCCAGCACTGCATAGTCCCCTGAGAACCAAGACCCCCAAAACAAAGGGAGGGAAAACTACAGAAATGAGAAGCTGGAGCCGTGGAGGCCTGAGCACAGAGCCAGGAGTGAGCCCTGAGCACAGAGGCAGGAGTGAGCCCTGAGTACAGAGCCTGGAGTAATCCCAGAGCACAGAGCCAGGAATGAGCCCTGAGCACTGAGTCGGGAGTGAGCCCTGAGCACAGATCCAGGAGTGATCCCTGAGCACAGAGTCAGGAGTGAGTCCTGAGCACAGATCTGGGAGTGACCCTGAGCACAGAGCCAGGAGTGACCCTGAGCACAGAGCCGGGAGTGAGCCCTGAGAACAGAGCCAGGAGTGAGCCCTGAACACAGAGCCAGGAGTGACTCTGAGCACAGAGCCTGGAATAACCCTGAGCCAGGAGTAAGCCCTGAGCACAGCCAAGGGAGGCCCAAAAATCAAAACACACAAGCAAAAAGAAGCTCTGTGTACCCATCCTATACCTGCCAGAATCTTCTTTGTGTGTGTGTATGTGTGTGTGTGTGTGTGTGTGTGTGTGTGTGTGTGTGTGTGCATGGCTGAGGGTGGCAGGGTCCCAGCCATGGGGAGCTCAGAGCCGGAGGTTCCCCAGGGCTGCAGAAGGGCGGAGCTGTCTCCCTGGGGGCAAATCCTGGGCACTAGCTGAGGGGGGTGCTGAGCCCCCATTCCAGGCCAGGGGCTGGGTCCAAGGCAGTCTCAGGGCGCACAGGGACACGTGTTCAGGGAGCCCCCCATCTTGCTCACACTCCCCAGGGCTCCCCAGGCCCCCGGGGTTAGCCACGAGCTGCCTCTGGTGGATTTTCCGCCTGTGTCTGTGTAGACTCTAGGAAAAGGCAAGAGGGGATGAAGTCACTGGGAGGAGATTCTCGCCCCCTCTTGGCACCCCCAGGGAAGGGCCCTGCCAGCGGAGTGTGTGTCGGGGATTCCAGCCCCGGCCCTGAAGGGCCCCTGGGACGGGTGCCCGGCCTCGGCCTGTGTGCAGGGGTGTCTGCGTCAGCCCCTCGGGCCCAGCTCACCCCGGGCAGTGCTGCAGCCTGTCCCTGGGGACTCCAGCGTCCTCTACTGGTTTACTTTTGTTTTGGGGGCTCACCCAGCTGTGCTCAGGGATTGCTGCTGGTAGGACTTGGGAACAGATAGGGTGATGGGGGTTGAACCTTGGTGGCCGCAGGCAAGACAGTGCCCACCCCGCTGTCCCTGCTCCAGCCCCTCAGCGTCTTCTGTCCACCCAGTTGGGAAACTTTTCCCTGAGGGACTTCCCTGATCTCTCTCTCTCTCTTTCTCTCTCTCTCCCCCTTCCTTCCTCCCTCTCTCCCTCTCTCCCTCTCTTTCTCTCTCTCTCTCTCTCCCTCTCTCCCTCTCTCTTTCTGACTCTCCCTCCCTCTCTCCCTCTCTGTTTTTGTGTGTCTCTCCCTCCCCCCATCTCTTCATCTCTCTCTCTCTCTCTCTCTCTCTCTCTCTCTCTCTCTCTCTCTCTCTCCCTCTCTCTCTCTGCCTCTTCTGGAAGGACTTCTAGCCAATAATAAATAGATAGATATAGGGGTCCTGGGACCATCCCCCAAGTGAGAAATGCCTTCCTGTCTCGTGCGAGGCCCTGGGTTCGCTCCCGGCACTGCTTGGCCCC